AAAAGAGATTCTAATCCTACTGATTACAAGATTGCACGATTCGATCTCGGGGGCTGATCACAATTTGCAGCAGTCCAACCTATTGCTTGCTTCTCATTGTCATAAATCAACATTTTATCTTGCATTGAAATATCTGCACCAGAAGAAGGAATTTTGTTCTGTGACTTCTACTTATTTACTTATAAGTGAATTTGTTAAGGTCAGAGAAACATGAACCACATCTTACCTCCGATCAAGTTGTAATCATTCAGTCCTATGTCAGTGCCATTCAAGATTCCCAAACAAGCATTGCCTTTTGACTGCACAAGGCAATTACCAGTGAACAAACAGAAATTTTCATGCTGAAGAAGCAATCAAAATTATGTTCAAGCTCTTACTGATATTATGAGATATGCTTCAGGGGAAATTTCAAACTGAGGTTTACTTTTCCAATCACTGGGAAATGTCAATGCTAGAGACTTGAAGTATTTATTTACGTCGCGTGTACTTTTGAAAGGTTTCTTGCCTTTCCAGCAGAACGGAAGAGTGCGGTCATCAGTTGCTTCTCTCAGCTTCCAACTCAATCCTTTCTTTATCTAAAAATGGGCATAGCAAATATAATGTTTAGTATATGAGATAAATGAAACAAAAGGATATGTAACTACGAGATATGCTAACAAGATACGTAGATTTTCAAGTTAGTTGAGGTTGAGGCCCGGGGGTGAGGGAGCATATGTGTTTGGAGACAAAATCCGAAACAACCAGATCATCAAGAGTGCATGGGGTCCTCGGGATTTTGGTTTTGTTAATGGGAAGTGAAAATATAGGAGCGGTAAGAAAGAAAATTTCAACTCACCATAGAAATCAGAGCATGGTAAACCTGAGAATTAAAGTATGTGTAAGAGCTCCCACTGTCGAAGATCACATTAAGATTCTTAAGCCCAGTACTTTTCCCGCCAAAAACAAATTCTGCATTTCCAGCTGAGTAGTGCTTGCTGTCACCATTTATCAATTGAGATACTCTATTAGATGTAGAACGAAATGTTGCGAGCAAATCTGTGTATGTGGGTACGGGTTGATGGGGGAGCAAGGGATTAACAGGGAAAGAAGATTACGTATAATCACTCGACATTGGCGTCCAAGTTATGCGTAACGAATCATATACATCTTCTCCAAGGAAAAGGTACCCTCCTTGCCCACTTAAACAGTGCCCGACAACATTTTTGACAACTCCCTGATTATGAAGTTGTGAAACAATGCTCGATTTTCCTTTCCCTAGACCAAGTACTCCATCTAAGGGATGATCAGATATACCAGGTAGTTGATCATATCCACAACTGCAAAAGGGGCAATCTGTATTCTTTTCAACTATATCTAGAGTTTGCAAATCAGTCACCTAAAGGCTCTTGAGATAAGATTGCAAAAATAAATAATATCAAGTGGAGAAGGGCAATCTAACTGAAAGAAGATCAAATGGAGAAAGTAAGAAAGACTACCAACCCGAGAGTAAGACGATGACTAATTCGAACTCCACTGGTAAGATTGACTGTAAACAAATCATTGACGAGTACACCAAGGGAGGAACCTCCATCTGCATACTCGACCTCGTAATCACATTGTTTTGGGTTGTCACATCTATAATCACTCGAGTGCAACGATGCACAAAGGGGATCTCTACAGACCACAAGGTCATTGGTGGGCCGATAAAGTGGGTGAAACCCCTGCACAGAAATAAAAATATTAGGATGAGGCATTTGTCCTCAACATGATGCTGTGTAACACATAATGCTGTAGAATTATGTCAACAGATGTTTACTTGTGTGCAACGGACACAAGGGGCATCACATTGAAGCCAGGTTAGATCGCTGCCCGTATCGGGATCAAGAAAGTAGGGCCTCGGAGGAAATCCTACGAAAACTTGGACAAAATAAAACCTGCAAGAGATACTTCAGTTGATTAAATTCCCAAAAGACTTCATGCAAATCGAGGAACTCCATCCCGTCCATCCATCCATCTATGCGCATCAAACAGGAATAGTTGAGAATACATATGAAATTGCTGATAAAATAAGAGTAAAATTTGCATACCCATTGGGATAAACATTGCCATATAGTGGGAATATGGCAGATGCCCCAATTCTACTGGCTCCTGATGAATAAGAAGAAGCTCCAGGGGACATCCGTTTCCCCCATTTTTGCTGCTGATCATTGGAACTTGCACCTGATACAGCCAGTACGATAAAAATCATAATCATAATCACAATCTGCATCCCTTTCCCCATAACTTTTTCTTTCTCCGACCATAAAACTATGTTAGTTCCTGCAAAGAACACAATGCTTGTCTTTATAGACAAATCCCATGTTGTGGACTTGAACGTTTGCTAATTTGGGTTGAAGTCAACTGGATTCTTCTGAGGGTATTTTTCTTTGGAATTAAGGTTGCTTTTGATTCCCACAAGTTCCTTACTTTTCTTGTTTGTTGATAACTTATCCCATTGTATTCCTTGCCTACCCAGCCATGGGAAGTCTATTGCATTAAGAGTCAAAGCATCACCATTAGAAAAAGAATACTTGCAGAAAGGTATACAATTAAAAAAGGGGCTGCTGCTGACTCTGCTTATAATTAACAATTGAAGATTGAAACACTTGTCGGCAATGGCGGAGGCGGTGGGGGCCAGTGGGGTCCCAGGCCCCACTACAGTACGGAAGAAAAAAAAATTCAGTTATGCTAATTAGGGGTGGACGCGGGTCGGTTCGGTTCGGTTCGGTTCGGTTTTTTTCGGTTCCAGAAATTTTCGGGTATTTAGTAAATGGAACCGTCGGTTCCAAATATAATTTTGGAACCATTCGGTTTCGGTTCGGTTCGGTTCGGTTCGGTTCTATTCGGTTCCGTTCGGTTCCGTACTATAATTAAATTTTTTAACATTTAAAATAATACTACATAAATATACCTTAAAGTGGATACCA